GTCTATTTAAAAAATTTACAATTTTATAATTAAATAGTAAATCTATTATTATTATCTACAATAACAAATATAAAAGTTAATCTTAAATTTGTTTTATTATGTAATCCATTTTAGCAGTGGTATGTTTATATATTAAGGAGATTCTTCTAAATGAATAATGCACTTCCCTGCTTGTATAATTTTTTTATATTTTCAAAACCGACTAGTTTTGACTATTATAGTCATTCTCAGGGTTTCTACAGAAATATAGTTTTAAAAACAGAATTATGATTAAAATCTAAAAATTATACTTCACGTCATTTAAATAAAATATACAGATTAATATTAAACATTTGTATGTATATAGTTAACAAATATCAAAGTCATTTCAGACTGAACAAATAAATTATAAATAAATGAAAACACGATTAGAAATATTAGGGTTATGTTGGGATATCTGTTGTTAGTGTAGTGCGGTGTTGTATTTTCTTTAAATGTTTAAGTACTTTTAACGTAAAGTCATTTATAAGTGTTTAAATATAGGTGTGTAAAATAGGTTAACTTGTTCATTTAGGCACTGTACTTCCTTGTTTTTATTTTGTTCATAGATTTCATATGCTTCCAGAAGTGTTAGTTTGTGATTTTTTTCCAATTATGCACATACAGGAAAAAAATCACAAACTAACACTTCTGGAAGCATATGAAATCTATGAACAAAATAAAAACAAGGAAGTACAGTGCCTAAATAAACAAGTAACCCTATTTTACACACCTATATTTAAACACTTATAAATGACTTTACGTTGAAAGTACCTATAAACATTTAAAGGAAATACAACACCGCACTACACTAACAACAGATATCCCAACATAACCTTAATATTTCTAATCGTGTTTTCATTTATTTATAATTTATTTGTTTAGTCTGAAATGACGTTGATATTTGTTAACTATATAAATACAAATGTTTAATATTAATCTGTATATTTTATTTAAATGACGTGTAAGTATAATTTTTAGATTTTAATCATAATTCTGTTTTTAAAACTATATTTCTGTAGAAACCCTGAGGATGACTATAATAGTCGAAACTAGTCGGTTTTGAAAATAAAAAAATTATACAAGCAGGGAAGTACATTATTCATTTAGAAGAATCTCCTTAATATTTAATCTTAAATATTAATTAAATAACACTTATTTATTGAAATATTTCAATTTGAATGATTTTTTTTAGAATAGGTCAATAAATAAATATGGTAGTATAATATATGTATATTATAATATAATTAATAAATAAAAATAATTACAATAAATAAATACAAATAAACTTAATTTTTCATTATAATATATACTGTTCTTTTAAAACAAACCTGAACAAAACCTAAAATAAAAACAAAATTTATTTAATAAAAATTTTGAGCATATGCAATTTAGTTTAATTTTGGACATATGTATGTAGATGTTAAATTTGACTTTAAGATTTTATATACAAAATACAAAAGTTTATACAAAATTGTTCTTTTAGTTCCACCCTTACTTCTTAAGAAGTCCCATAAGCCAACTGAATGGCTTGTGCGGGTTAGGGGTAGGAACGGACCGCGGGCTTAAAGTCCCCTCCGAAGGACTAATACACAATAGGACAAACACAAATGTAATGTAATACATATATGCCTCAAGTAAAACTAATATGTATAATATAAGTTTTATTTTAGGTATACATATGTAATTTTAAAATCATTTATAGAGAGCTATAAAATACCTGGAGCTTTAAGCTGCTCTCCAATGAGGCGGGTTTTTGAAAATTGGAACCAGGCCATTGTTGTTTTTTCAAAAATTCCGTCTGCAATTGGGGCAAAGATTTCCCTTACAGCAGCTTAAAAAAATAATTTAATCAAATAATTCTGAATACCACAATATCTTACTTACATTTAACAATACTTATTATTTTTAAGTCACTGATTTTAAAATCCAACTCCAGAATTGTCTTAAATTATTTGTGAAAACTTTTTCTAGGCATCTGGTAATACAAGAGATTTCATTTCGGCCCCCAGTACACTTCAAGAAATCAAACTGAAAACAAAATATGTATACTATATTTGAAATAGTAATATAAATTTGCATACAAATTGTGTTGTACAGGCCTCATCTTTTAATTTTTTTTAAAAATCTTTAATTTCTTAAAATTCATTAAGCAGAATTTTTGGTAATAAGCTTTTTAATTTTTGTCTAATTCCAACCCCATCCCATTTATTTTCTGTTGGATAGCTTCCATTTTAAACTTAACTTCCGACTTAAATTTTATTAAGACTTTAAATAAATTACCTAAAATGAAGCATACAAAAATTAATTAAACAAATTAATACACCAATTAATACATTCATCAATGTTATTGTTCTCAACATTTTGATCTACTTCTAGATCTACATTTGGAGTATCTTCAACATCATTAACGTCATTGTCTTTATCGTCATTTTGATTATTTACCTCTAGATCACTTTCTTCTGAAGAATTACATGTAAGTGCCTCTAAACAAAATAAATAATTTTAAATTAACAAAAATACTTGTATCCACAATCAGTCCACTGCAAATTAATATTAATTTTCCTTGTTAAATTCTGTGTACTTTTTGTTTTATAATATTTTTATTTTCTTATTTATTTGTTTTGACGTGTCTATCTCATCTGTATCATCTGTCTTGCATACGCGTTTTTCTTTTCCATAATTTACTAAAACAAGATTAAAATTATATAATAGACCCTATAGGGTCTCCCAAAAATTATGATATAACTGCAAACCAATAAAGGAGTTATTTTAAGCATAAAAAAGTAAGTTGGTGCGCCATTTTCGCGTTCGCCATGAGGGGGTCTAGTATCAAAACGTACTATCTCAATTTTGACTAAAATTTTGATGTATTGACAATTTTTTTATCTAAATTAACTTATAAATTAAGGAGTAGATGTTGTTTAAGTTAATTTAGATACAAAAACTGTTAATATATTAAAATTTTAGTTAAAATGATGAAGTTTAAAAGTCAACATGAAGATAGTACGTTTTGATATTAAACCCCTGAAATATAAACAACGTATAGGAAACTTTCTATTACAAAATGTTCTGCTTGTCAAAATGTTATGTACTTTTTATATTGAATGCATTTCTTTCTTAAAATAATTAATAAGTTAAACATATTTGAAATATGATATTTCAATACTTCGTAAATTAATAAAAAAATAACTTACCATATTCACCTAAAATTTTTACTTTCAGTATTAATTAATTTTTTTCTGGCGAAACCTGCCTAATGATGGCCATTCTTTCAGATTTTTTGTTGCTCTGCCACATGCAATAGTTGCCATCTTCTATAGGTGCATATATGTAATATTTATATATATACACTAATTATTATTAAACTAAAGATAATATATGATTATTATATTTTATACATTTTGTGGTTCAAAAAATATTTTTGACATGGTAAAGTAAAAAAATTGTCAAAGTTTACATATGTCTGGCCCATAATATATGTCTTATTTGTATTTACACACTTCAAAATTTTTGAAATTCTAAATACATGCTTATTACTAATAATACAATGATTATTTTTCAATCCTGTACTAAATTTAATATTTTTGTATCGTAATACTTTATATGAATCAAAACAATTATTATTAAAAAGTGGCTCAAAATATGGCTCAAGATTGGAAGATGTTCTGAATTTTCTACATTTTCGGGATTCATATACTCTGTTAATAAATTGCTGTAGGGGTTTGTTTAAAGTCTTAAGAATTTATTTAAGATTGCTCATATAGTTCTCAAATTTAAATGCACTAAATAAATCAAAATTTCCAAATTTCAGGACATCTTCATTTAGGTGGATTAAATTGTGGTTATTTTGAGATATTAATTCTTTACCATACAGTTTTCCATAATAATTTACAAAATAAATTAATAATTTTTTTGCATAATTATTATATTTAATTTTCATATTTTTGGAAATCAATATTTTAATTGCACAGTGAAACGTGAGAAAATGCTTATACTGAGATGGCTTCAATAAGTCTTTTAAAACAATGGATCCAGTATATAAGCAAAATTGCCTAAATTCTGTTGCTTTTCATCTGTCAATTTCATTTGTTGCTCTGAGTAATCTAGCAAAGTCTTTGCTACTAATACTTCTTCTAATTTTTAATAGGTTAGCATCAAGTTTTTTTAAATTATTTAAATTCATTCTTACTGAAACATTTCCTCTTATCCACAATAAAAGTAACTTTTTTGTCACACCCAAACACACTAAATGCATATAGTCTAGAGGTACCCTTGAAACTAAACCAATATTCAATGCCAACAAAGGAGTGTCTTTAATATGATAATCATCATATATTTTATTTACAAAACCTTCATCTGTTCTTAATGCTGAGTTGCAATTTGGATAACAAACGCGATAATTTACGTATTCTTCCTCTGTAATACACTTTGTACAACCGAAATCAAGATCAAGATCAATCAAGAATGAGATGAAAATCTTAATCTGGTCCTTTGAACTCTTTAGCCTAAGAATTGAAATTTTGTTTAATATTATTTATGCTAACTGGTTCAATAAATGTATTATTATTATTATTATTATTATTATTATGCATTATGGCCGTTTACACATAAAAGGAATGATTTGGCTGGTGCATCACGTATGATTTTACTTATACTGACTGAAATTAATATATCTTTGTATTTGAATTGGTTAGCCTGAATATCTAAATATTCGTTAATAAAAAAATCAAAGAAACCATTAACATTTATATCCAATTCAATACATTTATGATTTGCAACATCAATATTGTTAGAAGTTAAAGTATATGTAAGACCTTCTTTAAAACCAAAATGGTAGTATGAACCGTCTTCTAATTGAACAATATCATTCTTCATCATATTTAAGTTTAGTAACCCTTTAAACTCAAAAATTGACGGTTAATTTCACTTTAACCTTGAATAACTTTTAACCAAGTTAATTTACTGAAAAGTAACTTAAGGCATTTTTTGTACAGCGTTTAATTATCTACAAAAATATTCTATAAGTAGGGTAGATTCGCCAAAAAAGTTAAAAAACCCAAAAATTTCGTATAATTTGAACTTTGACCTTAAATTACTTTTGAAGGTTCAAATTTATCAAAAAATTATAAGACACTTTTTTAGTAGAGCGTTTAATTGTCTACAAAAATATGTCATGAACTTTACAGTACGACCTATCGTTCGTTAGTTACAAAAATCAGAAGAAACAAAAATAATTTTTCCTGTTATTCTTATGGAAAATCGAAAAGTGCGATGCGGAGCATCTTAATTTCAAAATTAAGAGCCCATCTCTTTACAGGCTCATTTTTATACCTAAACGAAACTTTTGAGAAAAAAAAAAGGTTATTTTGAATCACCCTAATATACAAGGTGTCCCATAATTAGCTTGCAATACTTTAACAGTACAAAAATAAAAAAAATGCTCGACTTATGTTTATTGGAAAAAATTTAACAGGGGGCCCCACAAATCGGTTCCAAATCATAAAAAAAATTCCTGCACAATTTTAGGTAAATCGGTAAAAGGGAACACGTGCCCCACAGGGGTTTTTTGAGAAATAATTGAAAAAATTTAGAAGGCTGATATAACTTCTAAACCGTCTATCATAGGAAAAACAAGTTTATATAAATTTTGTGGATTTAATAATAATAATAATAATAATAGATATTTATTGATTATCACATAATACATAACAATAATATATAACAATAACAATCAAAAGGACATTGACCTAAGTCCTTCAGCCATGGCACTTTAGTAAACAATCTTTACTGTTTATAAATTAAAGGAAACAAGACATAAAAATCTAATTTATACAAAAAAAATAAATTTTAAACATAACGTAAACAAACTTGTTTGTGTGGGTTTTTTGGAATTAATGAATAGGGTAGGAGCATATTCTAAGATAGGTCTGCAGATGGATTTGTATATAATAGCGGCGGTTTTGAGATTTATACCATTGTTTTTGTAAGTGAGACATCTGAATTGGCTGGCTCTGGAGACACATTTTTTTTGGCACTGTTGACATGTTGTTTAAAGTTTATTTTGCTGTCAATTTGAACTCCAAGGTACCTCACTGTCTGCACGGGACTTAGATTCTGGTTTCCGATTGTAAATAGAATGTTGTTTACCTTGTTTCGATGGAACACTATGAATTTAGATTTGCTTGCATTAATTTCAAGCCTCCAATCTTTGAGCCATTGGCTGATGTTTGAAAATAGCGCGTTCAGTTTTTCTAAGGCCAGCTGAGTGGTTTTCATTGCATTTTTGACATTTGGGTTGGATAGTGCAATTGTCAGTAATGTGCGTAAACGAGAAGCATTTGGAGCAGGGCAGTGGAGCTGGGGAAGGTGGCGAGCTGGGATAGATCGCATAGTGTCTAGATTAAAAAAAAACCTTCATTGAGCAATTTTTCGTTTGTAGTGGAATCTTTGGTAATAAGACGGATGAAATGTGTTGGCTGATTGGTGGCTCTGGATGTAATTCTTTTGCAGAACTCTATTGGCATGTTTTGTTGTTTAATATAAGACAATATTTCATTGTCAGAAATTTCCAATTCCACTTTTGATATTACACAGGAGTATGAAATTGTAGGTGAGTTGGTGGTTCTTGAAGTAGTTTTGTATGGTTTAGTTTCAGTGAATATAGAGATATGTTTGTTTGATTGGAGTTTTTTTAGAGAGTTAGTAAGAATTACCTTTGAGGTGTCAGACTTAAGTAGAAATCCTTTTGTAGTTTTTATTATTATGTCACTATTGAGTGGCCGCTCCTTTTCCCAAAGATCTGCCAGTTGGATTCGTGAGGTAGTGTTGTCCACAGTTGAAAGATAAAAGAGATTTGCATACTCTTTTTGTTGAATTTTATTCATTATGTTAGAGTTATTTTTGTTGGAACTTGATGATTTGTTGGAAGGATTATTTGGTGTTGTTTGCTGTTGTGAGTTAGTTTGGCTTAATTCTTTATTGTGTGCATCTGATTTCTTACTTTTCTTTGTAATCCCAATGATTTCTCTAATTTTTTCGTCTTGCATATGAAATAAAGTCCAAACTGCTGAATTTTCTTTTACCAGATGATGTTGCCATCATCGTCTTCATCACTTGTAATATTCATTAGCTTAGTTAATTATTTAATTATTCTCAAATTGATTTCAACCGACGTGTGCACGCGATCAAGTTTTGAGGTTAATGTTTGTGGATTTATTTACGAATTTTGCAGGAATTTTTTTTATGATTTGGAACCGATTTGGGGGGCGCCCCTGTTAATTTTTTTCCCACCCCTAAATAATTATCCTTAACACGTAGGAACCGTCATATATTCCAGGAACTAGACCTATTTATTGTACACTTATGTTTACAATGTTTTTTTAAATTACATATTTCAAACCTAAAATAAAAATTCTTTGTAACAATTTATAAGAATTTTTTTACCTTTCTAAACTAAAACCAAATATACTGCTTAATACATTTCTGATAGACTGCCATATAGTTTGCATTGAAATTTCGCATTAACGTTATGCGACACGGCCACAAGTAATTTCTGGTCCGCCGGTATACGTTAATCCCCCACGGCCAGAATGCCCCCTTTGTAAAAATGTATTAGACTTTTTTTGCTGTATCAAAAACTATGTAAAAACCACTTCTATACTAAAACCAAATAAATTTCCATATTGCTTAATACATCTCTAATGGGCTGTCACACAGTTTGCATTGAAATGTTGCATCAACGTCATGCAGCGTGGCCACAAGTAATTTTTGGTCCGTCAGTGTACCTTGATCCCCCATGGCCAGAATGTCCCCAAAATTTAAGCAGAATGGGGAATAGGGTTGATCCCCCATTGCACTCCACGTGTTAAGGAACACCCCAGTATATATACATATATGTAGGGTATATTATAGAGAAATGCAGTATTTAGTATAGCAAGGCGTAAGTCGAAACTATTATCTACTTATAAGTAGTAGTAATTACTTATTATTGTCAATTCATGTTAACAACTTTCTTAAGCATAATATGCATATTATGCACATATTATTTGATACACATTATTCTATGTATCACACTATCATATATTGCCTGGTATTAAATACAGAAAAATAATAGTACCTACCATCGACCTTTACTAGTACCTACATACAAATTGGATACAATATTTCAGATATTTTTGTCAATAAACTTACCTTGATTTATCACTTATATTCAAAGATATTTCACAAAAACTCATGCAAATAACAGTTGCTTGATCGTGTTCTTTTTCTATGGTGTCACACGAATCGTGTGCGAAGCAAGCATATGGGATTGTATGCAGTGTTGTCAAGCATAAAAATTTATCTCACCATCGCCACAGCTGTGCCATCGCGTAAAATAGTGTTTTTAAAAAAATATATACTTATTACTAAGATGTAACAAAATATAGTATATAAATAATATATTTACATTTTATAAAATATAAAATTTACTTAATATTAAACTAAAAACATTTTTTAAATTAATATTTTTAAGTGAGAGGATTTAAAACAAAATCTTTTTGGCAACACTGGTATAGTTTAGGGACAATTAACGCGCTAAATTCGATGACGCCAAATACAAAAAGGTGTAATTGGAGTTTTTCGCTGAGTTATTTCATGGATTTGGTCAACCCACATATTTAGTGGGTCAACCCAATTAAGACTCGGTTGCAGATATTTAAATTTGTGCTGGGCTGTCACCAGCTCCGGCCTGGGTACCTTTTAGGGGCGGTGCACGGAATGCCAGAAAATGCATTCACGTGAATGGTACCATGGTGAAAGGGGGACGTATGGAAAACCTGGGTGATAGTAAGCAAATGCCAGGCTCTTGTGGGTCCTTAATAATAAGATAATATTATAAAATATTTTTAAAATAATAATAATTTCAATTTATTAAGGGTCTTAAGGGTATTTTCAACCTAATTATGTAATAATGTAATTATAATTATAATTTTAATATATATATATATATATATATATATATATATATATATATATATATATATATAATATATATATATATATATATATTAGGGTGGGCCAAAAAAAACTTTTAATTTTCTTTTCTTTAGGTACCATGAAAATATCGTCCAAGATGACGAAAAAAAAATTCTGATAAAGTTTGAGCTCTTAATATCAATATTAAGAGGTGGCTCATCGCGATTTTTTATTTTCCATTTAAATAACACGGGAAAAAAAACATTTTTTTGTTTGTAATTTTATTGCGTTTTAAAGAATCAGTGAGTTGTAGAAATTAAAACCTATTCTGGTAGGGAATTGAACGATCTACAAAAAAGATCTGATATGATTTTTTGCTTAGTCAACTCGTTTAAAAGTTATTTGAGGTTAAAGTTCAACCTCAAAAAGTAAATGAAGACTTTTATAGTTTTTCATACTCTATTACGAAATATTGGCTCAAAAATATGAAAAATCATATTTTTTGTGAAATATAATTTATACGAAATATCAATAATCGTGAAAAAACGTTTTTTTTCTAAACTTGATTTAAAAAAAAAATCGATTTTTTTTACATAAGTAATGACAAAAAAATTAATCATTTTCTCAAAAAATAATAAATATTCTATTTACACTTGACTATTAGGTAATAAAAGCCATGTTTCAATAATTTATCAATTAAAATAAACATTTTTTATTTTAATTGAAAAATTATTGAAACATGACTTTTATTACTCTACATTACCTAATAGTCAAGTGTAAATAGAATATTTATTATTTTTTAATGAATATTTCCCTCATTATAATATGAACCAATCAAAAGCCTTGAATTTTCGAATAAATTTCGTTTAAATAAGCGATTTAATCACTAGAACTATTTAACAACGATTAAATTTTAGCCTCCATATTGGATTTTTGTTTACGATTTTATGGTGTTATTTACAAGTTTTAACAAACATTTTTTAAAAAACAATAAAAAATAAATTATCTAGTTTACGAAATATCAATTATTAATTATTACATACCTTAAGTTAATGGAAATAATCTAGACGTATATCACTTAACCTATAAATTTAATCTGTCAAACTATGCTCAGTAAGTTTTTTATTTGATTTTTCTTTTTGGAAAATAGTTTCATGCAAAATAATTAAAAATAAAACCCCTCGACCTCTACGCGGTCTCCTGATTTCATTAAATTATTTTGCATTCAACATTTTTTAAGAAAAACCAAACAAAAAACGTGATATAATATATGATTAATTTTTTTTGTCTCAGGTAAAGAAAAAATTTCGAATTAAAAAAAAAATTAAATATAGGAAAAAAACGTTTTTTTTTTCACGGTTATTGATATTTCGAAAAAATTGTATTGTTTTACCGAAGAACACTCGATAAACTTCACAAAAAATATGATATTTCATGTTTTTGAGACAATATTTCGTGATAGAGTATGAAAAACTATAAAAGTCATCATTTACTATTTAAAGTTGAACTTTAACCTCAAATAACTTTTAAAAGAGTCGACTATGCAAAAAATCATATGAGATCTTTTTTGTAGATCGTTCAATTCCCTACAAGAATATGTATTGATTTTTACAACTTACTGATTCGTTAAAACGCAATAAAATTCCAAACAAAAAAATGTATTTTTCCCGTGTTATTTAAATGGAAAATAAAAAATCGCGATGAGCCACCTCTTAATATTGATATTAAGAGCTCAAACTTTATCAGAATTTTTTTTTCGTCATCTTGGACGATATTTTCATGGTACCCAAAGAAAAGAAAATTAAAAGTTTTTTTTGGCCCACCCTAATATATATATATACACGTATTCATATAAAGGTGAGATCCTGATAAACCCTAGGCAACCTGAGATCCACTTAAAATATAGCATATTAGAAAAAACCAATATTACAAAATTAACTAAAACAATATTGTTAGCAAGTACACCAACAGAGGGGAAACATTTTTTGCAATTAAATAATACACCAAGTATATAACACAACACGAGATCCTTTAAAAAGTTAGTGATAGACGAGATCCGCCCTTGTATAAGTTGATATTATAACATTAAGCTGAGGTCCAACAGTGTTGCCAGTGTTTATTCTGTCACTGGAGGATATTTTTATGGCGTTGCCGCCTAACCATGAGTCAACAATGATATGATATCGCCCCAACAACTAGATAACTTGAAACTCGAGTTTTGAGAAAATCCACTTTAAAGATTTAAAACGCAAAAAAATTACAGCTGTTAAGTAATCAGATAATATCATAGATGTTAAATATTTTTGATTACTTAACAGCTGTAATTTGTTTCGTTTTAAATCTTTAAAGTGGATTTTCTCAAAACTATAAATTTCAAGTTATCTAGTTGTTGAACTAAGAGGACGATATGACTTCTGATTTCCAAACTGTTCGATTAATAAAGTATTTGTCTTTTTTAATTCTAAATAGGTACTACGAGGGTTGCCTTTTATATTTCGGGAATAGAGAAAACAAACAACAATTAATCATCGTACATGGCTTTATTGTTTTTTAAAATATTCTCCATGAAGATCGACACACTTTTGCATGCACTTGAACCAATTTTCGAAGCATTTTTTTCACTCCGATTGAGGCACCTCCAAAACATGCATTTTGAACGCATCAACCGCTTCTAAAGACCCACACAGTCGACTGCTGTTTACTTTCAGGTTCATACGCATAGATCCATGATTCGTCACCTGTTACAATGTCATGAACATGTTTTGAAGCACCGCTTTCGTATTTTTTAAGCATTTCTTGTAACCACTAGACCCGAGACCTTTTCTGATCGATTCTTAAATTATGTGGGATCCAACGGTAACAATTTTTTCTGAAGGCCAAATGTTCATTTAATATTGAATGTATGCTAGTCCCACTAATGCCCAAGGATGACCCAATCTCACGATATGTCACATGATGATCTTGCATTACCAGTTCACGCACAGCATCAATGTTTTTTGCAAGAACGAGTGATTTTGGACGACCTTCACGAAATTCGTCGGTGAGCAAACCACGGCCACGATTAAATTCGGAACACCACCGATATTCACTTGTTTTTTATGGCATTTTGTCGCGAAAAGTCAAATTAAGTTCATCGATGCATTATTGTTGGGATAATCCACGTTAAAGTTG